CACTGAGGGTTGCGATCCGTTGCCGGACACGGAAAAAGACAAAAAAAAAAAAAGAAGGCTTAGTCCAGTGTCACTACTTTGAATGTTATGCAAAAAGGCAGTCAGAATTATACAGTTTTTAAAAAAAATCTGGTGGGGCTTTGGGTAGCAGTTGAACCTAAGATGACATCTGTTGGCCTAATACAGTTCTTTGGATAGTATAGAAGATTACGTAAAAATGATTCGTAGTAAAGTTGTCAGGTCTTTGCTTGTAAGCGTGTATTTCTAAGGAATCAGAAGAGTTTGATGAAGATGTTTGTTCTTGGACTGGTCGGTTAGCTCAGTCGGTCGGAGTGCAGTGCTGATAACACTAAGGTCTGGCGTTCGATCCTTGGACCAGCCAGTCACCAAAAACAAAAACAAACGAACAGAAAATGTTAGTTCTTGAACATCTAAATCTTATGCTAGTGCCCTGTTTGCTTAGCAAGTATTTTCATTATGGCAAACATATTTTCAGTATGTAATAGAACCCAATTTCATTCTTTTAAAAATGTGTCTATAGCTCCATATAGCTTATTATTTATATATTTATGAAAAAAAGTTGAAGGATATACACCATGGTTTTAAATGTGATTATCCCTGAATAGTAGGGAAAGGTACAATTTAAATTTTACTCCTTATATTTATATGGCTTTTCTAAATTTCTTACAATAAATAAATTTGTGTATGTATTTTAACATATACATATATAACGAAGTGGTAAAAATTTTTAAAGTATACTGGATGGATGCTTTGAAGAAATAAAGGTAAGGGTTCTCTAAGTGAAGTCTGGATTATGTAGAGGCGGGAGAGCGAGGCTGGCCCGGGCTTGCAGTCTGTGTCAGCGCACAGCTGATCGGTGACCGCAGTGTTGGCTTTGTCCTCCGCAGGCCGTACGGCTCTGCGCTCGACACTGACCTCTTCCCAGCCCTCGTGGTGGAAGACCTGGTCCCTGGCAGCCGACTAGGCCCCACCCTCCTGTGCCTGCTCAGCACGCAGCTCAGGCGCCTCTGGGACGGGGACAGGTAAACACTCATGTGCTGCAGAGGAGAGTCCCTTCTTAGGCCCACTTTNAACGAAGTGGTAAAAATTTTTAAAGTATACTGGATGGATGCTTTGAAGAAATAAAGGTAAGTGTTCTCTAAGTGAAGTCTGGATTATGTAGAGGCGGGAGAGCGAGGCTGGCCCGGGCTTGCAGTCTGTGTCAGCGCGCAGCTGATCGGTGACCGCAGGGTTGGCTTCGTCCTCCGCAGGCTGTACGGCTCTGCGCTCAACACTGACCTCTTCCCAGCCCTCGTGGTGAAAGACCTGGTCCCTGGCAGCCGGCTAGGCCCCACCCTCCTGTGCCTGCTCAGCACGCAGCTCAGGCGCCTCCGGGACGGGGACAGGTAAACACTCATGTGCTGCAGAGGAGAGTCCCTTCTTAAGCCCACTTTTTCGGGGACTTGGGAGAGAGGAATCTCCTGGCTGAGAATGAGGCATTATTTGTGGTCAGCTCCGTGGCTGCCTTGGCGTGCCTGGCACGTGGCATTGGGACTCAACCACAGCAGGTTCACAGGTACCCTCACGCTTCTTCTCCTAGAAAGAATATTTCTGCTTCTAGAAACTACTGGACAATCCATACTATTAAACCAGGAGTTTGAACTTCTAGCAAGATTTTAGTTTCATTTTTAGTCTAAAATGATTAGTTCACTAACGTACGGGAAAGGTGGGCCTTGCCTGTCGGTAAGGACTTCAAGCAGATGGCTCCCTGCCGTGGCAGCTGTTTGTGAACATGGCCTTTCTTCTTTTTGCTAGCCAGGAAAGCCACCAACCATCTTT